AAAAAAAAAAAAAACTGATATATTTACACTGTGATTACAGATTGTCGATAGCTGCAATTACTGCTGCAACAGTAATACTTTGTATGCCAACATTATTTGCACATCAGATATATCCACAAAATGTTTATCAGTGTTTTAAAAATGGTAAATATCAAGGGATATATGATTTGACAGAGAATGCAACTGTATCATGTGATCAAAAATTGAGTGAAACTCGATACAGTGTTGGATTTTCATCATTAGTGCTAAAAAATAACTGCGCTTTATTAAAGATAAATCTTTGGTTAACCGGAATTATACTTAAGGTTTCTAATTTGTTCCTTTCTTTTTTTGTTAATTCTTGTTTCTGTTTTTCTACTTTAGTTTGTTCTGTGTGTGTGTGTGTGTGTTTTTGTAGACAATTTAATATAATAGATGAAATATTTTACTAGACAGAAAAAAAGATGAATGACTGATGAATCTATATTGATGAATTCCTATGTCCCTGATGATAAAAAAACCTGTGCTTTATAGGCAATTCCTTGTGCGCTATTACTTTGTCTTACATTTCCGTTGTTGATCAAGTTGAAAGAAAATCGTAAAAAACGACGACTACTGTTCGGTTTGAATGAGAACAAAGCGGAATCTGATCGAACAACTTTCATGCTTTTTTTGATGGTTTGCGTGTTTTTTTCAACAGAGTTACCTCAAGGCCTAATCGCTGTCTTTAATGGTAAGTTGGTGGATGGTGAACTTTACAAAAAAATGACAGATCTATCGATGCTGTTAAATGTAAATTTGTGATAGTAAAAAAAAAACACTTTTTTTTTGAACTCAAAGAAATTTGTACAAAATTTATTGTTAATTAATCTTTTAATTTTTCTTTGTTAAATTTTGAATAATTATAAAACTAATGAAAAAAAGTGGTTTCTTCTATTCAACATTTTTTTCAACTGTCAACTGTTTGTTTGACTGTTTTTTACTCAATAAAAATTTTATTTTCATATTTCCTCAAATAAGTATTCATTTATAGTAAAAAAGAACTTTTTTTTTTAATTTTTTTTCAGTCTGCTTAATTTGTAAGCAAAGTGTTAATTTTTTTTTAGCAATATACACGCAACAGTTTCAAATGTACGTTTATTTGGCACTGGCCGATATATTGGATTTATTATCGTTGATTAACTGTTATGTCAGTTTTACAGTTTACTTCTGCACCTGTAGCCGATACCGTCATACACTTGTTACCTCGTTTCGTTGTAAAGGTATCTTAAACTTCTATAGATAGCGTAAAATTTTTTTTTTTACTGTCCAACCTATACTTCACAATACTTTTTACTAATACACATCTGCTAATAATCTTCTGCAGGAAAATTATTCGCAAAGTTGGTGTCACTTGTTAACTTAATAATCTATGTGATAAATTTTTCTCAAAAATTTTAGTTTTTTTTTTTTT